TAGCCCCAGCTGGCCTGGAACTCACTATGTAGACCAGGCTAGCCTCAAACTGACAAGAGATTTGCCTGCCTCTGCCTCCTGAGTGCTGAGATTAAAGGCATGTGCCACCATGCCCAGCCAATACTAGAATTTTCTAATAGATTAAACTACACTTGTATTTACAAGTTTTGTCATGAACATTTTTCCCTCTCAAATATTCTCAAGCCTTTAGCTCTCAGGAGGCCCAAATAACAGGAGAAAATTTGTCATTAAAAAGTCTGCCGGGCACGGTGGCCCACGCCTTTAATCCCAGCACTTGGGAGGCAGAGGCAGATCTCTGTGAGTTTGAGGCCAACATGGTCTACATATCGAGTTCCAGGCCAGCTGGGGCTATAGGGAGACTCTGTCTCAAAAAGACCAAAAAGAAAAAAGAAAATCTATGATTGCAGAGAAAGAGCAAAGCCACAATTGTCTAGACATGCGCATGGAGCCAGAGGCCTGCAGAGCTTCCTGGGAGGTGAGGGATGGTGTGGAGAGGACAGGAGCATAAGTCATGTCCCAAGAACTTGATGAGGAAGCCATGGGGCACCCCAGGCTGAAGCTGGGATCTGCAGAAACAAAATGGAGACACAGGGGCTTTGGGGACTGTCCTGGCTTTGCCAGATCCTCACTCATCTCCTCCACCCTCTCTCCTGAGGTTTGGGAAGGTTGGAATCTCCAAACCTGCTTTTCCTCCTGGGATCTCCATCTGGCAGGCATTACCACTAACACCCACCTGCACTGTCCTCCCAGCTAGAGGGCATTTTCTTGCCCCTCTTCCTTCTTGGGAGATGGAATCTCAGTCTGAGGCCCAGGCCCAGCCCAGGGAGGCACTCCCTGCATGTTTATTGAATAAAGGACAGAAAAGATCCACGCTGGGGCTCCCCTCTGGAAAGAGAGAAGATCCTCGATCCATGTGAGTTTGAGTCAATTAAAAACAACATTTAAGGCACATGACTGTGATGGCTGCCACACCAGTGGGCTTGTTGCTAGTGGAATACTTCTTCCTCTTTAGGTTTCTAGAGTGAGCAGAAGTCAGGTTGGAAAGTGAGAGGGTCTCTGAGTGGATTTCCGTAGTGGGGCAGGTTCCTCACTTTTTCTGCCAACCAGTTGCCTCTGTGGTATGGTTCACACCTGAGGGATGGGGTAGGAGGCACAGGCTGCCAGGCCACACATGTTCTTCCCACGCTTGATGAGGAAGTATCTGGACAGAGAGAAGGGATTAGGGCCTAGCTGGTAGCATTTACACCATAGAGCTATGTTTGGCTGCTCACCAAGACAGAACTACAAAGGATTAGGCCCTCTGAATTATTCATAGAACAGCAACACCAGGTTTATCAGTGGGAAGTGAATGACCTTACTTTGTAACCAATTTCTTTATTCTCCTTGGCTGGAGCTCACTTTATTCCACCCATTTCCTATTTTTCCCCAGAATTGACTGAGGCTCCCTTCTTGCCCAGGCAAGGCCTTCAGTATCTTGTGAGCTCCATTACTGATTCGTTTCTTTCCTCAAATGAGGGGCTTTCACCCACCAAGGCAAATTTGTTACTTCCACTTCTAGACCTTCCCAGAGGTTGACTTTGTCCCCAGCAAGGTGCTGAGTTCTGGCTGTTTCCCACTTGCAGCTACAGACCCTGCTGAGCCAAGGGGCCTCCTGTTCCCTGCAGACTTGTTAGGACCTGGGTCCTACCTATGGTTATTACCAGGGGCCTCAGCATGTGAAGGCTACATCCTGGTCCCTTTATGGTGACCTGGCTGGGCTGCTGCTCAGCTCCTTGGAAACCGTAACTCTGAGGTAGAGACATGCTGGGACCGCTAGACCTTGAGCTACATGCACCCCTAGTAGTGGGACCTGGAGACTGCTTACCCTTTTTGTCCCCACTGGGTGCCCCAAGAATTTTTCACGATCCAGTAGGGTACCCCATCCTTTTCTCCATAGCCAACAGCTAGGACTGCATGGTTGACCTTATCTGGAGTTTTATGGCAGGAGGTGCTGGAAATGAAATACAGAGTCGATAATAAGGGATGGACAAGGGTGAAGACTGTTGAACACGGACTCTCCTGTTAGCACCCCGCTTCCCATGGGGTGGTGTGCCAGGTGGCGAATCAGCTGTGGCTCAACTAGAGAAAGAACAAACCTCAGCACTTGGTCCTGCTGTACCCCCAGTCTCTATGTGGTGATGGCTGCTCTCCACAGTGGACACTTCTGACTGCCAACAAGGAGAGCAGCCTCCTGGCTCACCCTGAAGGCAACAGTGTTGAGCTAGAATTCAACCCACTGCTCTGCTGCCACAAGGCTCCCTTATATATTTATGGCAAATATGTGGGCTCTCATTTAGGATAGTGAACTAGTTTCCATGAGGAAATTCTATGACTTCAAAAGGACAAACTGAGTGATCACGTGTGAATTCGGCTGATATGCAACTTCTAACAGTACGTTGTCAGGCCTGGGGCAAGGTGCTGGGCTACGAATAGTAGGCCTCACTCTGCTCTTGTCTTTGCCTTGTTTGGCAGGGGAAAGTTGGGCAAGGAGGCTGCCTCTATGCTAGGAAAAGGACTGTGCCAGTGAGGAGGAGGTCAGGAGCCCCACGGAGCAGGATCCAACCAAGTGGGATGGGAGGCCAAGAAGGCTTCCTTGAGAAGCTGAAGCCTTCCATGTGACTGGGATGGGGGCTGCAGGGTGGAATGGGAGGAGACAGAAGGAGGTTTGATGGCAGACAGCTATAGACAAAGTGGGGGGCAGAATCACCATAGCCAGGTGAGACCCTGGGAGGCACTGGGCATTTAAAAGTTGTGGGTTGGAAAGATGCCTCAGCTGGTAAAGGTGCTTGCCATGCAAGCCCGGGGACCTGAACTCTGGTCCCTAGCACCCATGTAAAAAGCCAGCTACAGCAGTGTGTCTGTAACCCCAGTGCCAGAGAGGCAGACAGGCAATCTCTGGAGCTCATCGGCCAGCCAAACTAGTTGAATCTGTGTGCTCCAGTCTAGTGAGAGGCCTCATCTCACAAAATAAGGTAGAAGTTGAGCATGGTAACACATGTCTTTAATTCCATCATTTGGGAAGAAGAGGCAGGCAGATCTATACAGCAAGCTCCAGGCCAGCTGGGGTTACAGGGAGACCCTGTCTCAAAAAGACCAAAAAGGGGCTGGAGAGATGACTCAGCTGTTAAGAGCACTGGCTCCTTTTGTAGAGGACCTGGGTTTAGTTCCCAGCACTCACATTGTAGCTAAAAACTGTAACTCCAGTTCCAAGGGATCTGACACCCTCTTTTGACCGCTGTGGGCACTGCATAACATGGGCATACTTACATACATGCAGACAATACACTCATGCACATAAAAATAGATTTTAAAAAGACCAAAACCAACCAACCAACCAACCCAACCAACCAACCAACGAACCAACCAACCAACCAACCAACCAACCAAGATGGAGAGTGACTAAGGACGATATCCAGGCTGACCTGTCTCTACATTCATGCATACACATGTGCACATGCCCATATGAACATGTTTGTAAAACATACACACACAAAGTTGCCCTGTCCAGAGAAGCACTTCAGGAAGACTCTGGTTCCATGTAGAGGAAGGGTGCTCTGTGTGTGTGTGTGTGTGTGTGTGTGTGTGGCAGCTAGAAGAGAAGACGGGAACAGCAGGAAGTAGGATGCAAGGGGAGAGTGAGCAGCATTAACGGGTGTGATGAAGGGACGAAGGCCTCTCCCTCAGCAGCAGCAGGGATGTGACTCTTAACAGGCACAAGGACCTAGGAGGAGCATGGGGGCTGGAGGAGACACTTAGGTTTGAGCTGTTCATGGCCATCCAGGCTGAGTTGGCAGGGGGCTCTTGGAGCTCTGCATGGCCCTAATACTTGGCAGAGACATGGTGGGCTGTGGATATTCTCAGCAAACAGTTGGCTGTGAATTTACAGTTGGATCTGAGAACTGCATAGCGGGTTGAGGGCAAAACCCTGGTACACACGGACTTTCCAGGGGTGGCTAGAGAACAGAAAGCTCATGAAGGACCCTGGAGAGCAGGAATGGCTGCTGAGACTCCCCCCTGAAGTCACTCCTGTCACCAAACAGGCAGGCTAAGAGGTGTGGGCTTGAGGAATCCCGTATGAGACATACTAAGGGGGCTCTGGGTGTAGCGCAGCAGAGTACTTGCCTAGTGTGCATGAGGCCCTCAGTACTACGGAGTTTGGCTTTCCTGAAGAACCCTGTCCTGAGCCCTCCAGCACAGGATTCTGGTATTTAAGAACAGCTGCTTTTCCTTCCCTGTTTCCCACTTTCAATTATTATTATTTTTTTAGACAGTCTTTTGGAGCCAGGCTGGCCTCGAACTCACTATGTAGCTCAAGATGACCTTGAGTTTCTGATTCTCCTGCCTTTACTCCTAAATGCTGAGATCACAGGCATGCATCATCCCACCCCATTTATGTGCTGCTGGGGATTGAACCCAGGGCTTTGTGCAGGCCAGGCCAGCATTCTACCAAATGAGCTATATCCCCAGTTCAAATACCTGAACCTGTTTGTTTTTTTGTTTGTTTTTTGAGACAAGATCTTCCTATAACCCCCTTAGCTGGACTGGAACTCACCATGTAGACCAGGCTGGCCTCAATCTCAGAGAGATCTACCTGCCTCTGCCTCCAAGTGCTTAGATCAAAGGCATGTGTCACCACACCTCACCACACCCAGCATTTAAACCTGTTTTTTTTTTTTTTTTTATCTTATTGAGACAGTATCTCCCTGTAGCCCCAGCTGGCCTAGAACTTGCTATGTACACCAGGCTGGCCTGGAACTCACAGAGATCTGCCTGCTTCCTGAGTGCTGGGATTAAAGGCATGAGTCACCATGCCCAGCCCTTCAACCTGTTTTTGAACCTTAGTTTTCTTAACTGGACTCAGGTCTTTCTGTAGAGAACCACGAGCTCTGGGCTCAGATTTTGGTCTTAGCCCTTAGTCACCAAGGCTGAACCTGTGGCATCCTTTGTGACCTTTCTCTTCCTTGGGCCATAGACTTCACTCCTTGACACTTAATGAAGACTAACTGTGGGAACACATGCTAAGCTTCAGAAATGATCTAACTAGTAGTCTAGACTGAGCTGGAGGCCCGTGTGGGTGTAAGGAGGCCCATCCAGCCCTGCCCATTCTCCCTCCTGACTCCTGGCTCACCTGGAGTAGACACCACTTTTATACATCATAAAATCTTCAGTCACCTCAAAGGCAAAGCTCACAGGGTTGTAAAGGGCCACGGCCTCCACCATTGCCTCCTCGTCGTTCTGTGGACAGACAGGAGGATTGACAGACATGCTCAGCCTCTGCCACCACCCCACCGTGCTTACAACCTTTTGTTTTAAGGTTGGGGCTGGAGGTCAGAACTGTGTAGATGAGCTTGAGGAAGAGACCAAAGGGCAGTAGCTTGGTTACAGCACTTCCCTAGTGTGTGATGCAGGCCCCATCTTCTGAAGATTGCCAGCAGCCTCTCCATTGATTTTTCTTGTTTTTTGAGACAGATTAAAGGCATGTGCTACCACGCCTGGCCTTATTCATTTATTTTTAAAAAATTATTTTTCTTTTATGAGTGTATTGCCTACATGTATGTAAGTGCACTGTCATACAATGCTCATGGAGGCCAGAAGAGGGTGTCAAATCCCTTGGAACTGGAGCTAAGGATAGTTGTTAGCCTCCATATGGGTGCTGGGAACTGAACCTGGGTCCTCTGGAAGTGCAGTCAGTGCTCTTACCTACTGAGCCATTGCTCTAGCTCCATATCAATTTTTTTTACGGCTACGGATGGAACCTAGAATCTTGAGCCTGTGAGGCAAGTGTTCCACCACCAAATGTGTGAGGCCTGCCTAGCTTTTGTTGGTGGTGGTGTGCTGGGGATCAAACTTCACACACACAGTCTAGGCAAGTGCTCCGTGACTGAGCTACACCTCAAGCCCATTTGAGTTTTTCATTTGGCTTACAGTTCCTCCTCCTATACCAGACTGGCTCTTCTGTGGCCTCTGCCCTTGCCTTTGCTTTCTGAGTGTCTGGTCATCTCTCACTTGCCTTCCCCACATTCTCACACAGGGTACGGAGTAGACGCACTCAGTCACAACTGATTGCTGAGGTTGGGACTGTGAAGCGTATGACACTCTTGTTTCTGCCACTAGGACCCCACACCCATGAAGAAAACTTAGGGAACTTCATTGGTAGAATATAGGAAGACCAGCCAAAGTTATGGGCCTTCTGAGTGGGACCGGCCACTACAGCAGGGAAGGCAAGCGAAGAGTCATGGCTTCTTAGAGGCCGAGTGGAAGCATCAGTCAGAAGCACTCTCTCAAAAACCTCCCTCATGGCTGGGCTGTTCCCAGCATCAAGTGTTTTAAGTGCTCCAATTGGGAAAACCTGAGTTCATAAGGAGACCATTAAATGTGGAAATGAGGTTGGAGGTTCTGTGAGCTGAGGCCAGGGCTCAGAGAGGGGAAGGGAAGCAAAGTGCAGGAGGGGACAGGATGCTCAGTCCTCTGTCTCTCCATCAAGCAGTTCCTTCCCAACACTGCTAGTGGTCTTGGGAGGCCAGGAGGTCACAGAGGTCTACCCACGTGAGGACCAGAACCTCTGTGGACTGGTACCATTTCTACAGCTGTCTTTTTCTCTCTCTTTTTTAAAATTTTATTAATTTTTTAAAAATGTATAAGTGTTATGCCTACATGCAGGTAAGTGCACCCCTGTCGTGCAATGCCCGAGGACAGAAGAGGCTGTCAGATCCCCTGGAACTGGAGTTTCAGACAGTTGTTAGCTGCCATGTGGGTGCTGGGATTCAAACCAGGGTCTTCTGCAAGAACAACCAGTGTTCTTAACCGCTGAGCCATTTCTCCAGCCCCCTACAGCTGTCTCTTGTCCTGCCTGAGTGTACTGGCCTGCTCTTCAGGGCACTGCAGGTGTCCCTGACAAGACTCTCCTGGGGGAATCGGAAACAGGAACTTCAAGCCTCCTCACTGGTTTCTTGGTGGAACACAATAACCCCAGAGGGGCAGCCTTGGTGGGTGTGTTGCAAACAGGTTCTTTTCAGAAGATGGTAACATCTCTATTACAGGGTGTGGGCTGCCTTGCTGAGACAGTGAACGTTGGTTCTGGAATGGCATTTCTCAGTTCAAATCCAGCCCCTACCCCCTAGCCTTTGGGCTTATTCAACTCCTCTGAGTCTCAGTTTTGTCATCTACCAAATGAGGGCAATAACCACATTCATGTCCTAGGTTATTTTGAGATAATGCATGTCAAGTGGTTGTACACTGCCTCTAATCACTATAAACCCAAACTGTTATTACTGTGGAGAATCTGACATGGGCTTCAATTAAACAGCAATCACTGTCATTATATGTTTATGACCTGCATGTTTGTGGGCACACACCCCCTCACCTAAACATCACACCTGCACACACCACAGAGATTTCTCACTTCCTCCGGGACTGAACCCATGCCTACCAGACTGTGGGCGTGATTATTCATATTCACGTGCTCTCTTGGAAAAGCAGCATGTGACTGTGTGTTATGGAATGCTGTCCTTGGAGAACAGCCATTACCGTCTTAATCAGAGCAGCTGTGATTACCCACAAGTGACCCTAACAGGATTTGACTTGTTGGGGGCTAGAGAGATGGCTCAGCAGTTAAGAGCACTGACTGCTCTTGCAGAGAACCTGGGTTCAGTTCCTATGGGTCACAACCATTCATAACTCTAGTTCCAGGGGATCCAATACCCTCTTCTGGCTTCCACAGGCACACTTACGTATATGCAGGCAAAACACTCATACACATAAAATAAAAATAAACAATTAAAAAAAAAAGATCTTGACTGGCCAGGTGTGGTAGCACACACCTTTAATCCTAGCACTTGGGAGGGTAGAGGTAGGTGGATCTCTGTAAGAATGGTCTACCTAGTGACAGGAGACTCTGTCTCAAAAAAAACAAAACAAAACCCAGACTCTTCCATCAGTGATGTGCTGCCAGGAAGGGCTCCCCTCTTTAGCCCACCTGCAGCTTCCACTTCAAAACACAGTCTCTAGTCAGAGAAGGACTCAGTACTCACAAGTGTGATGTTGGCTACATCCTTGACAAATGCGATGGCCTTTTGGGGCTTGAACTTGCAGTGACCATCCTGTTCAGGGTAGCAAAGGGCAGAGAATATAGGCTAGGGATGTTCAGTCCAAGGATGAGGCCTTGTCCTCCCAATGCAGGCTGACCACATTTTCTAAGCATGGATGCATGTACTAAAGTCTTGCTGACAGGGGCACTTCAGAGGGGTTTAGAAGTTTCCTTATCCTCAAAAAGTTCAGAACCCAGGAGCAGGAGACAGTTCTGTGTGGTCTGTGGCACACATAGGTCTTGGTCAGGGAAGGATTTGAGCCAGCTCAAGGAAACTGAGAAATGGGAAAATGGAAGCTGAGTGTGTAACAGGGCTGGAGGGACAGTCAGTCCAGGGAGCAGTGCTGACAGAAGGCAGGCTCAGAGCAGCCACCAGACAGGACTGGAGGGAGAGTAGGACCTGGTTTCTAGGAGCCAGGAATGGTTGGATATTGGATGAGTAAGACTGGCCTGTAGAAGTGAGACAGGTCCCAGGGGCCTCCAAAGAACTCTGGCCAAGGTAGGTGTGTAGGCAAAGCTGGCCAGAGAGGCCCAGGTGAGACTGGCTCATTTTCTCCTGATGGGAGGGAGTCCATGCTCTGAGTGGGGTTAGGAACATGGGATGGACTAACAGAGCCAGCCCAGCAAGGAACAAGACAGGCTGGGTTGAGATGAAAGTCTTGGGGAGGGGGACATTCAAGAAACAGATGGTGCTACAGGGGCAACAAGAGGTCCCTGGTGAGGGCACAGGACTCAGGCAAGCAGAGGAGGTCTGTGAAGAGTACAGAGGCTGAATGGAAGCAGGAGAGCAGGGCAGAGGGGCAGAAGGGTGATACAAATGCGCTGGAAGGAGACAAAGCTGAAGCCGCCTAGAGTTACCATGCCCCTGTAAGGGTAGGTGTCTTCTCCCATGATGCCCTTGTTGTAAAGGATGTATTCAAAGGCCTGGCTGGGGAGACCTCTGCAAGAAACACACACATAATCACACAGAATCCCACCTCAACCCGGCACAACAGACAGGGGTGGGGCTTCAGTGTGGGAGGCTGGTGACATTTGTCCTTGCTTGACTCACTGGGGTCTTCGTGGGGCATATTCCAGTGGTAAAGGTCCCTGAGAGGCCAGCAATGTATCCCTGGTCTCCAGACAAAGGGCAGCAAACTCAGCCACTGGAATCTGAGGGTGAGCCCCATGTGCCCCTATGGGACAGGAGACCTTTGGAAACCAAGCCCCTGTCAAGAGGAGTGGACAACCCCTCAGGATGCTGAAGGAATCACTGTCACCATACTGCCATGTACACAGGCCACCTCATGGACAGGACAGGTGTTCAACAGACACCCTGCCTGACCCCTCATGTCAGTCTCAGGTGGTAGGTGCTATTTCCTGAGGCTCAGAGGTAGGATACCATGCCCAGGCCACAGATCTGAATTCAGGTTTTGGTTTTAAAGGTGGATCTTTCCCCGCCTCTTCCTGCTTCCCAGAAAAACAGAAAATCCCCCAGCAGTGCCCACCCTGTCTTGTCTTTGTTCTTCCCATAGCCTCTGTCACCACCAGGCCTGGGTCATATGTGTGCATGGCTCTTTAGGCCCTGCTGAATGTCAGCTCTGGGGGTTCTGTTACATCACCTGTGACTGGATCCACAGGGGATCTGGTGAGAGCTGGTGAAAAACAGAAGTGCTATCCTGAACCAAAGCAAAAAGACTTTGAAAAATGGCAGGACTCTGGCATGCCCTGGAGTCAGCCTCTTGCTCTGGGTGGCGTGAAGTTGCTCAGAGAAAAAGTGAGAGGAGATTGAGCACACTGGTGCCCTAAGACTTTGTTGGCTGGTGAAGCCAGGCAGAGTTCAGTGGCATCTTGGGAAGAGATTGGATTTAAGAAGCCAATAGGCCTGGGCTTGGATTCCAGTGCTACACATTCTTGTGAGACCCAGGCTAGAACACTGATGCTCCCCTCAACAGACATGTCTTTGTTTCCACCCAGGGAGATGGATGGGTTGTCTATGGCAACTGCTAAATCTGACAGCAGCAACTAGGGGATAAGAAGGGGTTCTGGGCTCTTCTGCCCTGCTAGGGAACATACCCTTGGCAGCCATGATTGTTGAAGTTCTGGGCGCAGTCTACCAGCTGCTGCTCAGCCTAGAGGAAGGAGCACAAACCAGTGAGGAGACAGCCGAGAGGCCATGGAAGTGCTGGCATGCAGGGTGGGATCTCACTTGCTCATCCACATCTCTGGTCTGAGATTTGGCATTGTGTGGAAATGACCAGTAAAGCCCCTGGGAAGAGAGTGCCAGCCCCATAGCTGGCACTTGTTGGGAGGGGCTCAAGAATGACCTGACTGCCAAGCAGGTGAGAGAGTTGTCAACAGGCCCTTATACTGAGCACCTGCCCTATAGGGGTGTGTGCACAGAATGGATCATGGGTCTTGTGGTGGATGCCTGAGGGAGGATTAGGCCTACCCAGAGACCCTGCCCACCACTCCTCAACCCAGGCTCCCAAAGCCACACTGACCTTGCTCCACTCTCTCTTCCCTGTTCAGGTGGGACAGTTCCTTCACAGGTGTCCCCCTCCCCTCAGCTTAGGGGTAGATACATAGGCCCTGGCTCTTCCCTCCATGAAGACAACCAAGACAGCACAAGAAGGGGCACAGCTTCTAGGGGGGTGTCTCCCACGCAGGATCTGCTGTCAGGGTGGAGTCCCAGGCCACAAAACTGAGGAATGTGAGAAACATTCAACTCTACACAGGAAGGATCCCTTGGGCTACTTCCTCAGTCCCAATCTTTCTGGGAAAAACATCAGTTGAGATTCTCAGTCTAAATGTCTTCAAGGCTGAGGCATTGAAACAGCACAAAGGCTAAGGCCCTGAGAGAACCTCAAGGTCCATGGCCAAGGGTGAGAGGTAGTTGGAGGAGATGGCCCACAGCTGACTTCTTACCAAAGACAGCATCTTCCCACTGGCGATGGCCACAGCAGACTCCAGGGCTCCAGTGGTAGAAAAAGTCCAGCAGCTGCCGCAGGCCCCCTAGAGAGGACACACAGGGCAGAGGGAGTCAGTGACTAGATCATGGTGACCACAGCCTCACTCACCAGTGTGGGGTCCCTGAATGCCTTTGCCCTATCACCACATTTGTCCATGCTGAGCTACACAAGTACCAGGAGGCTGGTATCTGCCTCCCATGTTACAAATGCAACAACTGAGGTTCAAGAAGTTCTGACTAGTGCTGGTGGATTCCCAATATGGGCCTCTTTATATATATATAAATTTTTTGAAGGTCTCCCCATAGTCCCAGCTGGCCTGGAACTCACTATGTATACCACTCACAGAGATCCTGAGTGCTGAGTGCTGGGATTAAAGGTGTGTGCCACCATATTCTGCTAATATGAGCCTTTTCTTGTGCAATTCCTCCACTCTGTAAGGGCCAGGAGCCCTCCAGAGCCCATTCTACAGTCCTACCTTGAGTCTTTTGTTAGCTCCAATGGAAGGAGTTACTAAAGTTCTCTTTCTAGAACCGTCTCTCTCACTTTTCTATCACCAATCTCATTCTACTCATAACCTAAATGCTAAACTAATAGCTTCTTGGGCCCTGAGTTCAGCCTGGACCATCATCTAGGTGCATCAAACTTTTGACTCTGTGCAGATGTACCTGACACCTCGCATTCACAGATTCTGCAACATCCTTCCGTCCCACCATCTGTTGCTAGTTATTACTGCTGCCAGGCTCCCCATTCACCACACCTCCAGAATAACTTGAGGGTTAGGAGCTGGACCCGTTTGCCACTCCAGTTCCTGGCTCTTTCATGCACTAGCTGTGGGACCTGGGCAGCGATGTCCCCTGGGAACCTGCTTCTTCATTTGTAGAAGGGGAAGGTTAGGTAAGGCCAGGCCAACAAGCAGTCAGCCAGTGGGCTCTTTGTGACTGTTGCTGTTCTGAGTTCTTCATCTTGGTCTCCTTTCCTCTCCCTGCTGGTGTTGCCTTCCATATTCTATTTCTGGAGTGTCTCTTAAACACGCTCCTCCCTCTTTAAAGGCTGACTTCTTGCTACTTGAATTCTTCTCTGCAGGCCAAAGGGATACCCAGAAGGTCAAAGAGGCAAGTCTGGCCACAACAGAGGAGGCTGCATGCACTGATGAAGGAAGCAAAGCTGTACTTTGGCATGGAGCAGAGACCTGCCTATTTTCATTTTGTTTTGCTCTGTTGTTTGAGACAGGGTCTCACCATGTAGGCTGGCCTTGAATTTACTTCAGTGGGGATTACAGGAGTGGGATACCACCCCTGGTAGGGACCTGGATTTGAATTTCTCCTGTTTACCACTGACCTTGAGCAAGCCACTTTCTCTATCAGTCCCCCTGTCTGTAAATGACACATGCTCAAGGGGCTTTCTGAGCCAATGTCTGTAACCACAGAGTGGCCACCATAAGATACCACATGCACCTCTGAGTAACATTCATATCCCGGTGGTCAGCTGTATCAGTGGTCTGGGGTCTAAAAACAAAAGTCCTTGGAACCCTCTTGGCAGACCTCCCCTTCCCACCTGTCCAAATGGAGACCAGGTGCAGACTTCAATGCTTCCAATGGTTGTGAGACTCTAGAGGGCGTGCACACACTACCTTTAGGTCACAGAAGGATGACAGGCTTCTTTTAACCTACTTCACATTTCCTGCTGGGAGCAGAGTCTTGTTTTGCACCCTCCTCCCAATTCACAGTCCAGTTAACAAGGCAAGCTCCAGGCTGCGGTGAGCCTGGGAAGATATGAAGCTGTGCTACATGCCTTTCTGTATCATGTGGCTTTCATGAAAAACATGTTTCCCTTGGAGAGTTTCTGTGGAAAGCCAAGAGTTTCCAAGAAGGCAACCTTAATCTTAGCTTCTTTGAATGGAGGGGTTGGCATACTTAAAAAAATTTTTTTTTATGTGTATGAGTGTTTTGCTGTATGTATGTAAGTGCACCTGTGTCATGCAATGCCCATGGGGGACACTGGATCTCCTCAAACTGGAGTTAGGATGGTTGTTAGCTGCTATATGGTTATTGGGAATTGAACTCAGTCCTCTGGAAGAGCAGCCAGTGCTCTTAACTGCTGGGCCATCTCACAAACCCAGAGGTCAGCATCTTTGAGGAGGGCTACTACAGTGCCATTATGAGGGGCAGGTACACAGAGTAGTGGGAATATCAGGGCTTGGGGGCCAGTCTTCAGAACTTCAGTATATGCTAAAACCTCCCTATACCTGGGTGAAAGACTGGGGTCTCACTTGGCCAAATCCATTAAGCCCTGCTGTGGGCCTCTGCCCCATAGAGAGGCCACCTCCACTATGCCTAGGGCTGCATGTGAGAAAAGCTCTACTTGGTTCCCCTCACTGACCAACTTGAACCACTCAAGATAGGCAGCCAGCCAGCAGAGGGGCTGCAGGCTGGTGCCCCAAGGGGTGAGTACAGGATGGAAAAAGGATGCATGGGAGGCAGGGAAGGGTCCTGGTGTTGAGTCTCTGATGGGCTCAGGGAACGTGTTTTGACTGACTCTGTAGGACAGACCTGGAAGCCATGGGGAAATATGGGAGAGTGTGCACAGCAGGGGAGACTTTAGCTCAATAGAGGACCATTTTCATTATCCAGGGCTTATAAAGCAATAAACCTTAATAAAGCAATGACATCCCTGCTCAGGGGAGAGGCCTTGCGGAGTAGAGAGCTGGAGAGACTAGGGGGGTTGTGGGGTGGTGGTGAGAGGGTGGCGGGGAGCAGAAGTGTGGATATGCTTGCAAAGATGCTGTGGACCTTTTGAAGTCTCCATCCCAGTATGGTCTATGATTTGGGGAAAATTGGGGATTGCCATGCATACCTGGTTTTTCACTGGTGAGACAAAATTTCCTTTCTTCCGCCAATCCATGGAGGGTGGGTAGGGACCAGTACCTCGAAGATAGTTACTTTTGGTGGCTGAGCAATTCTGAAACAACCAAATATATTATTTTCAAGGAAAACTGTAATTAAAATGGAATGAGGGTAGCCAGGCGTGGTGGCCCACACCTTTCCCAGCACTTGGGAGCTCTCCGTGAGTTCAAGGCCAGCCTGATCACCAAAGAGTTCCAGGCCAGCCAAGGCTACATAATAAGATCCGTCTCAAAACAAACAAACAAACAAACAAACAAAAAACAACAGGGGCTAGAGAAATGGCTCAGTGGTTGGGAGCACTGGCTGTTCTTGCAGGGGACTCGGGTTCGAATCCCAGCACCCATATGGCAACTAATAGCCCCCTGTAGCTCCAGTTCTAGGAATCCAATGCCCTTTTCTGTTCTCCACAGGCACTGCACAACTTACACACATGCAGGCAATACACTTATACACATAAAATAAAAATCAATCAAAAAATTTTAAAAAACAAAGAAAAAAAAAAGAATGAGGGGTACTGAGGAGATGGCTCCTTGGGCAAAATGCTTGCTGTGCAAGTATGAGGAACTGAGTTCAGATCCGAAGTACCCACATTAATAAAAAAAAGGCATGTGTGAGGGTGGTAGCTGGAGAGGTGGCTCAGCAGTTAAGAACACTGGCTGCTCTTCCAGAGGGCCCAGGTTTGGCGTCCTGCACCCACATGGCAGCTAACAGCTGTCTGTAACTCTGGTTCTGGGGGTTTAAACCCCTTCTTTTTACCTCTGTGAGCATGCATGCACATGATGCACTCATATAAATGCAGGCAAAACATTCATACACATAAAATTATACATATATATATTTTAAAGCCAGGCACAATTGCATGCTTTTTTAATCCCAGTGCTGGAGGAAAAAGAAAACATAGATACTGGGGGCTCCATGACCAGTTAGTGTAGCTAAATAGGTGAACCCTATGTTCAGTGAGAGACTCTGCCCCCCAAAATAAAGTTGAGTGGCTAGAGAGATGGCTCAGCAGTTCAGGACACTTACTGGTTTTCCAAAGCCCCAAGTTTGGGTCCTAGCATCCATGTCATGTGACTTATAACTACCTATAACTCCAGCTCCAAGAGTTCTTTTGCCTCCAGGGGCACCCATATACACATGACATATACATACAGACAGACACACAGACACACGCACACATACAAATACAAATACAAATAAAATAAATCTCTGAAAAAGAAATAAGCAGAAAGTATAGAGGAAAACTCCCAAAGTTAACTTCTGGCCTCCACATGTGTATGGGCAAGCACACTCACATGTGTATACACCATAACACACACGAAAGGGAATAAGAAATGATAAATAGAGTGTGGTGGCACACACTTGTAATTCCAGCACTTGGTAGATGGATGCAGGAGGATTAGGAGTTCAAGACTAGCCTTGGCTCATATGGAGATCCAGGCCAGCCTTAACTATATGGAATCCTATCTGGAAAAAAAAAAAAACCAAGAAAACAAAACACAAAAGGCTGGAGATATGGTTCAGTGGTTAAGAGCACTGGCTGTGATTCCAGAGGATTTGGGTCCCAGCACCCAACTGACAGCTAACAACCATCCATAGCTTCAATTCCAGGGGATCTGATGCCCTCTTCTGTCCTCCATGGGTGTTGCATGTACATGGTGCACATAGATACATACAGGCAAAACACTACACACATAAATAAAAAAGTTTATCTGAAATTCAGTTTTAACTAGGCATCTGTATATTATCTGCTAATTCCAGATTACAGGTTCATGTTGCTAAGGCCAGACCCCTGGACTGAGAGACCACTGTGAGAGACGGACCCTCCTGCTCCTTTAGAGAATTTAGGAACACTGCCAGCTGCAGCTGGGGATAGGACTGAATCTAGCTGGAAGCAGAGGAGCTCAATAACTATGTCACAGGTTTGAGTGAAACGATCAGGATTTATTTACAACTGAATTATACCTACCTGAGGCTCTGACCAGAGGTATTTTCGTTTTATTTCAGCAAAGCTCATGTCTGAAAACTGGTTCAATGCCACTGAGGAAGAAAGGAGAAAACAAACAAAACCACAATGAAATAGAGGGCTTAGGGAATCACTCATAAAAAATAGAAAGGGCAGAGCTCCTATTCACCTGTATTCTATCAATAGCCACTGCAACTTGGCTCCTTTATTTTTTTGGTCTTTTTTTGAGACAGGGTCTCCCTTTAGCCCCAACTGGCCTGAAACTCGCTATATAGATCAGATAGGCCTTGAACTCACCTAGCTCTGCCTGCCTCTGCCTCCCAAGTACTGGGATTAAAGGCGTGCACCACCACACCTGGCTGGGTCCTTTAAAATATATCTGATATAATTCAATATAGCATGCCATGACCCTCTCAACTGACCAAGTGTTCCCAGACACTTGAGCCTATAAAGGACACTTTTCATACACAGGACCACAAAGGTCAACCAGTACCATACCTCCGCTGATGGATGTAAGCAGTCTTGGGTGGAGCCTGTGCACCCATTTTTTTATAGTCTTACTGTGAGTCTGACGGATGCCTAGATAAAGAGCCACTACACCCATGCAGGTACCTGCATGGCATTCAATCTTCACTTCAGTTTAGCAAGGACAACAGTCATCTCCATTTACAACCCATGATAATCCCCATCCCAAGGTCACATGCCAGTACTGGGTAGAGCTGAGCCTCAAACTCTGGCTTTCTCTCAGTTCGTGCTCACTGACTGAAGTCCCAACTTAACTGAGCAGCTGTCATTTCTCAGTCTGCAGTGGCCATCTAGTGACACTGACAAGGGGTGAAACTGGGTGTCTCAAGGCAGCTAGTGGGCTCAGAACAGTCTGAGAGGCACTGGCCATAGCAACCCAGACAAAGCATGGCCTGGGAGCTGTACCCTCAGATGGCAGGGATGGGGCAGGACTCCAATCAACTTCATGATCCCCCAGAGAGCTAGCAGTATTGCCCGAAATTTACAACCCTGTGCCTCACAGAGGATGACAGTACAGCCACAGTCTGAGGTTGGCCAGACAACCTCAGAGCTGGGATCTCCCGTCTCACCCACCAGTCACCAGTGGCCCCTTTGGCCAGCCTGTACCGCTAACTGCTTTCTTTCTAGATCTGAGAAGTTTCCGCCCCTCCTTCTCCCAAAAACTTGGAGGAAAGTTGGCTCCCCGTACTTTTAAATGTGTGATTCCTCTCATTGTGGGCATTAATCTTCCTCCAGTTGTTGACAAACATCTGCAGTCTGTGGTGGTATTCCTCTGAACTGTATGTCTTTTGATGCTAAAACAAAACATATGGGTGATAAATCATGAGAACAGGATGAAACTTACTAAAGGGAGACTTCTTATTTTCTAGAGAAGGCCTCTTTTTCTCTCTCCTCTTTCTCTAGGCTGGTCTTGAACTTCCTATATAACTGAGATGACCTTGAACTTCTGATCTTCCTATTCGGATATACTTCAACCTCCCAATTACAGTCATGCACCTGGTTTACGTGGAGACCAAACCCAGAGTTTCATGCACGCTAGGCAAGCACTCTATACTTACTGAGCTACATTCCCAGCCCATGGAGGTTTTCATTTTGTCATGATTCTCAGGACAGATGTGTGTTAGTAGGTGGGACTCTGTTCTAGGTCTCGACTATCAACATCAGGAAGTTACAAATCAACCGTCCCCTTCCAGAGTGTGGCTAGAGTCAAGACCTCGCAAGTGCGTGGAAGTTGGTTACAAGTTCTAGAGACCCTGGGGAAGATATCTGCCAAGCACAGGTCACCTGTGGATATCATGGCTCATTGCTGAGTCAAGTTTATGGCAAAAATTCACCATTTTTCAAAACTGCACACATTGGTGTTCTCAACGGATTTGTCAGCTGCCATGCAAGGTGCTTTGAATATAAAATATGGAATTGGAAGTTCAAGGCTTAGAGGGCTTCTGGCAGGCTTATCACTGGAGACCGCCATTCGGAAATTTACTTAACGCATCTTTCCTGGAATCTGGCCAATTTGAAATATGAAAAGACCCAGGATAGAGCAAGGTTGGAAAATCCCTCTTATGGTCTAAAATCTGGTACAGTTTAGTTTGCAAACAGGAAACTTTGTGACATGAGAAACATCAAAAAAGAAGAAGTTGGTCACTGACCTGTGTCATCCATGACTTAAAGTGAAACTTCTCTGAAAAAAAAGAAAAAAAAATTAGGTCTGGGTACCCTCGAGTCTAAAGCTAAGTAGGGCACTGTAGAGGTGATTTGCATTTTAGAAAACAAGATTAAACTGAAAATACCAAAGACGTTGAGTGTAAAAAAGAACTCTTACCACTTTGTACCTCAAACTAATTTTGAAAAACTGTTATTTTTATGTATGTGGTGTATGCACAGGCGTGTGTAAGGGGGAGGGTGCATGTACCCACGAGTGCACGTGTGATGGTCTTAAGTCCATTTGGGGTGCCTTCCTCTATCATTCTCCACCTTAGTTCTTTAAAAAATAGTATTCTCATTTTATGTGTAGGAGTGTATTGCCTTCATGTATGTAAGTACACCTGTGTTGTGCAATGCCCAAGGAGGTCAGAAGAGGGTACTGGATTCCCTGGAACTGGAGTTACAATGGTTGTTAGCTGCCATGTGGGTACTGGGAACCGAACCTGGGTTCTCTAGAAGAGCAGCCACTGAACCATCTCTCCAGCCCCTTCGCCTTATTTCTTAAGATAGGGTATCTTACAGAACCTTGAGCTTACATTATTTAGCTTAGGTTGGCTAGTTAAAAGGTGCCCAGGATCCTCCTGTCTCCTAGCACTGGGGTTACAGGTGTGTGCCTCCCATACTTGGCTTTTTATGTGGCTGCTAAGCATCAGAACCCAGGTCCTCATGTTTGTGACACAAGTACTTTACCCACTGAGCCATTACCTTCCCCCAGTGATATAATTTTTATTTATTTTTATGTGTAGGAGTGTATTGCCTGCATGTAAGTGTACCCGTGTTGTATAATGCCCTTGGAGTACAGAAGAAGGTGTTGGATCCCCTGGAACTGTAGTTAAGGACTGGTGTTAGCTGCCATGTGGGTGCTGGGATTCGAACCCGGGTCTTCTGCAATAGCCAGTGCTCTTAACCACTGAGCCATCTCTCCAGCCCCTACTTAAAAAATTTAAACAACTTTTACTTGTGTGTGTGTGTGTGTGTGTGTATGCACATGAGCATGATGGTGCATGTATGGAGGTCAGAAGACAACTTATGGGAGTTGGTTCTCTCCTTCCACTATGCAGGTCCCAAGGATTGAACCCAGGTCTCCAGGCTAAGTGGCAAGTGCTTGCTGATCCATTTACCTGCTGATCCATCTCACTGTTCCCTCAGTGATACTTTTGTTTTTTATTTTTTTAAAAATATTTTATTATTTTTATTTTTTATGAGTGTATTGCCTGTATGTATGTAAAGTCACCCAAGTCATGCAATGCCTGTGGAGGTCAGAAGAGGGTGTCAGATTCCCCTAGAACTGGAGTTAGAGCAGTTGCTAGCTGCCATATGGGTGTTGGGAATTGAACCCCAATCCTCAGCAAGAGCAGCCAGTGCTCTTAACAGCTGAGCCCCTCCCCCATGATACTTTTAATCTGTGGTATTAGAAGCCAGGATAGTGTTTATCCTCAGTGGGAGCAGAGGGAACTGCTGTGTAACAACTTCCTCCCCAGGATGAAACATTCCATTTGGGAAGGAGTCCCCTTAAAACTCAGGAAGTAAACAACTCAAAAGCTTCAAGAAGTCTTTGAAACTGAGCAGATTCATTAAGGTCCTCTCTCCCCATACTTGCATAAGCAGCAAGGACTGTAGAAAGACACTCTCAGACCAGCGGAACTCCAGGTTTCCTGCTTTTGAGAGCCATGCTGGGGTGGTCTTTTGATGATGCACCTGTAAGTGACTCCAATGAAAGTCATTTTTCACCAGGTTGGCCTTGGGTGCTATTCTTACTTTGATCTGTTGCTGATTCCCTTTCTGGGGTGAGTAGACGTTTGTTTACGTCTCCCCAGGAATAATAATATCACACAAGAACTTTTGGAGAGTTGAGAATGTTTTACTGCTTCACGGGGTGCAAGTTACATGGTACATTTCAATCATAAAAATTCATTGACTTTTATATTTAATTACTAGAGTAATTTTGACATTATAGTTCACTAAGAAGTTAATTAAAAACCTATATGCCCCAGTCAGTATTCTCCTGCCTCACTCTTCTGAGGTCATAGGGATGTGCCACCATGCCCGGTGATAGTAACTGTCAATCTTTGCAGTGTCTATCAAATTACTCATCTCAAGAAGCCATAGGCAATGGGAAAAATGAGTATGACTGTGTCCCTATAAAACTTTTCAAAATCAGGAAAGCCAGCTGTTTGTGGATTCCAGCTAAATCCTCCCTCTTATATGATCTAAAACTTTCATTTTAAATTTAAATAGCTGCAAAGTATGTGTTCCTACTGTAAACATTTTTAATTTTTTTAACATGTGTGTGTGTGTGTGTGTGTGTGTGAGTGTGTGTGTGTGTCCATGAATAAGCAAACCATGGCTTGCATGTGGAGGTCAGAGGAAAACTTGCAGGAATCAGTTCTCTCCTTCTACCATGTGGGTTCCAGGGTTTGTACTCAGGTCGCCAGGCTTGGCAGCCAGTGCTATTTAAAAATAAATATTGGGCTGGGGAGATGCTTATTGGTTAAAGTGCTTGCTGTGAAAGCAAAAGGGCTGGAGTTTAGATTTCCAGAACCCAGCAATCATAGAGTGAGCCTGGCGGCTCACCTGTAATTCCAGCCTTGGAAGGCAGAGACAGGGAGGGTGAGACAGATAACAAGACTAGCCAAATCGGTGAGCTGTAGGCTTGATTTAAAAACCCTCCCTCAATGAATAAGGTGGAAATGCAATCAAGGAAGATTCCTATTAACCTTGAGCTCCACACATGTGTACCCACAATGAGAACATGTACACACACACACACACACACACACACAGGAGTTGGATAGTTTGCTAGTTTGCTGATCATGGTGGCATAAGCCTATGGGAGGATAATGCAGGAGGATGAGGCAGGAGAATCTGGAGGAACTCAAGGCCAGACTGGGCTATATAAAGAGATCCTGTCTCAAAACACCACCACCACCACCACCACCACCAAAAGAGCTGAATATTTCCCACATTTCTTTTTCTCTTCCTTGAACACCCATCTCCCCATCTCATCCAAGTTTAGCCTAAGGGAGTACACTTACATTTAATCACCTTATATCCTTTTCTGCAACAACAAAACAATTTAAATTATTTTTCCTTCCTAAATTTAAAAATTATTCTAGATTAAGTAATCATAATTATTATGGGAACCCTAACTGACTAAAATCTTTCAGATACATTTTATATTATGAAAACTAATTTGTTAAATCTCAAAAAGTAAAATTTTAGTGGAAATATCTTTTAGATCAGCATCTAGTTATGTAGCCCAGAGGCTAGGGTCACAGTGTTCCTTCATTGGCCTGATGAGCACTAAGATTACAGGCTAGCATCACCACACAGGGTAAAAGACCTACTTGGAAGTAAAGGGTCTGGATTGGCTTCCCTGATGCCCTCTGTGCCAGCATCATTTGGAGTGTCTCCGTGTCCTCCAGGGAGACCCAGGGATCTGTTCCAGTAGTGTGAAGGTCATTGCTGTGTAGCATTTACATCTCCCTCTGCAAGCTCCAGGCCTGATCCAGAAGCTGGGCCAGGACCATTTTTCTGGGGGCAGAAGGGTGGCACAGTTCCCCATTACAGGGCTCAGGGAATTCCAAATCCTGGTTGAGGGCCCTGCTGAGGCTCAGGCCCAGGGTCCACAGCAGGTGGAGGTCTGTGTCTGAACTGTACTTCTGGGGGCTTTCCAAAACAAGAGGGGAGAAAGCCCCGGGACTTCTTATTATTAGAGGGTTGGTAGAAGAAAACCAGATGACCTTAGGGCAACATCAGATCCATCACAAACTACCTTTGACTTTTTAATTAATTTATTTAGTCTTTGCATGCATATGTGTATGTATACCTGAGTGTTTGCATATATGTGGGCACATGTGCAGGTACACTGTGTACATGTAAAGAGGTCAGGGGTCTTTTTAAAAAATATATAATATTTTTTTTTAATTATTTTTTTGTGTACGTGTGTATTGCCTGCATGTAGGTCATGCAGTGCCCTTGGAGGACAGAAGAGGCTGTCAGATCCCCAGAACTGGAGTTACCGACAGTTGTTAGCTGCCATGTGGATGCTAGGATTTGAACCTGGGGCCTTCTGTGAGAACAACCAGTGTTCTTAACCACTGAGCCATTTCTCCAGCCCCCAGGGGTCTTTCTTGATCACTCCACTTTATTACTGATTTATCACTGAACTCACAGCTCCCTAATTCTAAGTCATCTAGCTAGCCTGCTTGCCCTGGGATGCTCTGTCTTTATGTCTGAGTGCTGGGATTCCAGGTGGTTGCCATGCCTGGCCAGCTTTTATGTAGGTTTTGGGGATCAGAACTAGAGGTCTCATGCTTATGCAGCAAGTGCGTTACCCACTGAGCCATCTGCCCAACCCTGATCATGACTTTCTAAAGAAATATCTTTTTAAAAAATATTTTATTTATTTTTCTTTTATGTGTATGAGTGTATTGCCTGCGTGTAGGTGAGTGCACCTGTGTCGTGCAATGCCGTGGAGGTCAAAAGAGGGCTTCGGATTCCCCTGGAACTGGAGTTAAGGACGGTTTATAGCCGCCATGTGGGTGCTGGGAATCCGTGTCCTCTGCAAGAGCAGAGCCATGTGGGTGCTGGGAACCTGGGTCCTCTGCAAGAGCAGTCAGGGCTCTTAACCGCTGAGCCATCGCTCCAGCCCCAAACAACAAACAAAACCAAAAAAGGTGGGGGGCTTATAAGATGCCACCCCTCCCTGAGGATCTCCAAGCAGTTAATACTTGTTGGAGGGGGCATTTTATTCAGTGGGGTAGCCACTGGTAAGATGCCCACAGTTGTACAAATAACCCTAATGAAACTCATTGTGGGGGCTGGAGAGATGGCTCAGAGGTTAAGGACACTGTTCTTTCAGAAGACCTGGGTTTGAATCCCAGCACCCACATGGCAGCTAACAACTAACTGTCTGTAATTCCAGTTCCAGGAGATCCAACAGCCTCTTCTGTCCTCCGAGGGCATTGCACGACATGGGTGCACTTACCTACATGCAGGCATAACACTCATGCACATAAAATAAAAAGAATAATTAAAAAAAACCCTCAATGCAATACACACACACAGAGGCACGCACAACATCGAAGTAGAAAAGAAACAAGGTGGGAAGATCAAGGGACTAGCGATTGAACGGAGACAAGAGACCAGAATTATAGACATCCTATTATGTATAATTCATACATGTTAATAAAAAAACCATTAACGGGGGCTGGAGAGATGGCTCAGTGATTAAGAACACTGCTTGTTCTCTCAGAAGACCAGGGTTTGAATCCCAGCACCCACATGGCAGCTAACAACTGTCTGTAACTCCAGTCCTCCCGGGGGATCCGACAGCCTCTTCTGACCTCCTCCGGCATTGCACAACACGGGTGTACTTACCTACATGCAGGCAATACGTGAATACACATAAAAAAATTAATTAATTAATTAAAAAAATTAACAAAAGAGAAGTGTCATTTTGTATGTTCTGCCTGAGGATTAGAAAACCAGTCTGTCACCAGCTTTGACTGACTGATTTGACTCTACACTTAAAAATGGTTGGGGATGGGGAAGACTAGTAACAGAAAATCATTTAACTCCAAGCTTTGTGTCCATAAACATTTATCACAACAAAATAGCGCTCAGTTTACTCCTTTACAAACTATCTGTGGTGCTGCTTCCGTCTTAAAAGCAGGGGTTAAGTAGTTGCTACATAGACCAACAGTCTACAAAACTAAAATATTTACTAGATAGTCTTTACCGAAGTTTGTTGCCAAGCCCTGCTTAGAGTAAGACAGCTTTTCCCAATCAGCTCTCTTCCACACAGGCCGCAGGCTAAAGTCAAGCAAAGCCCTGGTCTGGGGATAGCTGAGCTTCCCTTAGGTGGAGACTACTAACCTAGGACTTCCAGCCTGGGAATTCTCATTCTCATTCTCATTCTCATTTTCTCTCTCTCTCTCTCTCTCTCTCTCTCTCTCTCTCTTTTTTTTTGATAATCTCTCTCTCTATCTTCTTTTTTCTTTTCTTCTTGCCCGGGAAGTCTCATTCTCTCTCTCTCTCTCTCTCTCTCTCTCTCTCTCTCTCTCTCTCTCATTTCCTCTCAATTCTCTCTCATTTTCTCTCAATTATCTCTCTCTCTCTCTCTCTCTCTCTCGTTTTTTGAGACAAGGTCTCACTATGTAGCCCTGACTTGCCTGGAAGTCGCTATGTAGACCAGGCTGTCCTCAAATTCACAGAGACCCTCCAGCTGCCTGTGGAGTGCTGGGATTAATTGAAGGCTGGCGCCACTACACCTGGCGAGGCTTTCTTTCATAAACAGGAGCGCAGAGAGAAGTCTGACCAACAAGATTCTGCCTCAGGGATCTTTGCCTTGACCCTAGGTTGGTCCTTGGCAACTTTCCTCTGTCTCAGGGTGAAGGGGGTAGGTGACCTTGTAAGCTCAGAACCTGTGCGCAGAGGCTGAAGCCAGGGGCAACAGGGCAGGAGGGCTGGGGCGAGGGGTTGCAGTGGGGGTGGACCCTGGACCGGTCACAGCTGACCTAACCCAGCGGGGCGTCGAGACCCGGCGCCGGGTGTCCGGGGGTTTGCACACCACCGCCACTAGAGTTAAACTTCTGTGGTTCCAGCGCGTTCCTTACTGCAGGGAGGCAGGCCCCCAGAACGGCACAGGTGGACTTCCAGCCCAGGCGGGGCAGCCCTGGGTGCAGCCCCTGGGAAGCAGCCAGGAAACGCTGGGACCTCCCCTCCGCCTGCGGCAGGGCGATTAATCACGGGGTCCCCAGGAGTCCCGGCTGGGGCTGGAGGGCAGAAGAGGCTGCGGGCTTCTTTGGCATTCTAGGCCTGAGCGTCCCCCGGGGCAAGCGGGACACTGGACAGCCATCGCCCTGTCTTGGTCCCCCAGGAAGCAGGGCCTCCGAGACCGCGGCAGTCCCGCCCGGTTCTTTTGCAGCCCGAGGTCCCAGCGTACCTATGGAGTTGACGGACAGCTCGGCGGCGGCCAGGAGCCAGGCCCCGGCGCTCAGTAGCTGCAGCGCGGCCCACATCGCGGCGTGCCAGGGACCCTGGTCCCGCGGAGGTGGCGAGCGGAGCAGTCGTCCGCTGGGCGAAGGGCGGGCGGGTGTCCCAGCCTAGCCCGCCGGAGGTGGGGCGACGCCGGCCTCCGCAGCTGCTTCCTCCCCGCCCAGCCCGCGGAGGGCGGGGGGGCGTCCCCCGCCTGGCCCCCCGGGGGGGGGGCGCCGCCGGCCTCCGCAGCTGCTTCCTCCCCGCCCAGCCCGCCCCCGGCCGGGACAGGCCACCCCCACCCCCCCAGCTCGGCCCGGGAAGAAGGGCTCCAGGGCCCGCCCCTTCGGGAGGGACCTCGCCCCGCGGTACTGACGGGCCGGGAGTGGCGCACCGCCGGATCCCTCTTCTCACTTCTACATTCCACCGCCGGGTCGGTCCCCACCTCCAGAGTCCCCGTCTCCAGGTCCGGGTTAACCACACCTACCTGGGGCGTGGAATAAAATAACTTCTGGAGGAACAAGGCAGCTTTTTTGTGCGACCGGGACTGCTCACTTGCAACAGGCTTTGTGTTTCTGCTGAGGAACTCCTACCCATACCTACTTGGCCGTTTTTCTTTTTCTTTTGCAAGTCTGAAGGAGACTCATACATTTGAGTCTGCATGTGAGATAAGCAGAACAAAGGACATTTTAAACTAAGGAGCTCTCCCAAGATTCCTCTGGAGGAGGAAAGGGGATTCAAGGCCTTGTAACACCAGGCCTGGCACCCAGTGATTTCAGGTTCTTACCGTTTGTCTCACCACCCTGCTCAGTGGTGTGTTCTTGACTCCTTGCTTTACAGAAGGGGAAAGGAGGCCTCAGGGATAGATGGTGAGTTTCCAAGTGCACGGCACAGGGAGGATGAGCCCTACTGCAGCAACAGATGCTGGCTGCAACACATGGCTTTTCTTTTTTGTCTTAGAGTTTCCCATGTAGCCCAGGCTGGTGTTTAACATGCAACCCTCCAGCTTTAGTCTCCTTTACAAGTATGAGTCACCATCTCTGGCAGTCCTGCGCTCACCCCATGTGGGAATGAACTCCCCCCCCCCCCCCCCCCCGTTGAACTTTCCCCTCCAGAAGCTGCCTTTTAGCACCAGGGGAACAGGTTCCTGGAGTTTTTGTGTAACTGGGACTTAGAAATCTGAACTTGCTGGGTGTGGTGGTCCCCACCTTTAATCCCAGCACTTGGGAGACAGAGGCAGGCAGATCTCTAGAAGCTCCAGGCTGGCCTGATTTACTTATTGAGTTCCGGGCCAGCTGGGGCTATAGAGAGACCCTGTCTCAAAAAAGAAATCTGAACTTGAAGAGCCTTAGGGGCTGAGAATGTAACTCAGTGGTAGATCAAGGAAGACTCACTAGCATGAGTGAATTCCTAGGTTCAAAGCCCTGTACAGTCAGTAAAAACGCCCAAACAAACAAAAAACCCAAGAGCCCCAGAACACAGGCTTGTCCCTCATTTGGTCAGGGTATCGCATGGGCATTGAATATGCACAAGAATCAGAAGTAAGCACTGACAGGCTCTGCACATGCGGCCCTGAAGGCAGGTTCTGTGCAGAAGACTCCTGACTTAGGATTTCCAGCTTTATGATGTGGTGAGGGCAATATGCAGTTAGTCCAAACCAGATTTAGTTTGGAAGTTGGAACTCTTTGCTGGCTGGTGGCAGCAGCAACCTGCAGCTCCAGTCAGCTTGAGATCACAGTGGGAAGCAGCTGACACTCTACAGTGTGTTGCATGCAGAGTGAGCTGTTCCCGTCTCTATTATGAAATGGGCTTTGTGTCAAATGCCTTGCCCAACTGAGATCAAGGTCTTGCCCAATGGTAGGCTAATGTGCATCTTCTGAGTACATTTCTGGTAGGCTAGGCTAAGCTATGATGCTCCATAAGCTAAGTGTATTAAATGCTGTGCTGTTAGGATTCAGTACAACGTTATGGCTGTGACTGAATAAAGACACCCTGACTTAGCATCCATTTTAGCCAAGAGGGGCCCAAACTATTCTGAGAACTGGTTCTTTCAGAATTCTTTCAGAACTGTGCTTCTGAATGGGGGCCTTCCTCTCTCTTTTATTGAAACAGTAAATCCAGCAGAAATGGGGAAGTAAAGCAGACCCTTATCAGAGGATTGTGGATTCCTACTGACCTAGGACTGCCCGCTCACAATCACAGACAGATGTTATCAATTTAACCCTTCCTATTGCTTACAAGGCAAATGGGATAATTTGTTGTTTAAAGGAATATCTGCTGCTTACAATGCTTGATATGTAAAACACACACTTGTGCTCAAACTTGAGCAAAGGGCAAAGAAGGGTCAGGAGGGATTAAGGCCATATACCAAGTCACAAGAGAAGCACTGTGAGCTTGTCTACATTATAAGAAAGCTAAAGAGGGTGGAGAGATGGCTCAGTGGTTAAGAGCACTGTCTGTTCTTCCAGAGGACCGGGGTTTGATTTCCAGAACCCACATGGGGGCTAAAGACTTCCTATAACACCAGTTCCAGGGGATTCAACACCCTCCTCTGGCCTCTGAAGGCATTACGTGCATGAGATACACTCACATGCAAGCAAAACACTCTTATGCATTAAAAAAAATGTTCAAGGTTTTCCTCAACTACATAGAGAGTTTGAGAGGCTCGAGGCCAGCCTGGGCTACATTAGAACTTGACTCAAAAAAAAAAAAAGTGAGAGGAGGCATCAGATAGGAAGTGAGCCAGAGAGCTTGGAATCATGAAATGGACTCTACCTGCCATGGCTGGTTTTTCTGGGGCCACAAGCAGGTAACCTCTAGAGGGTAGAGATTGCCCTACTTAATACCAGCAAGGATACCTCAGCCCTATAATGATATGGAACTGAGTTCTGTCAACCTGAGTGAGCTTGGAAGCCAGGGGACGAGCCATGATCATGTAACTTCTGAACCTCAGGCTGTGAGGGATACAAGTGTGCTGCTCTGAGCCTCTAGGTCTGTGACAATGGTTTTACAGCCATAGGGAAGTGATACATGTGGTCAGGTGCCTGGGTTGGTGGGTTCCTCTGGTGACAGAGGGCTGTGTATGGCCTAAGAGTATAGTGTACAGGGAGACTAAGAGAGGAGGCCTTCAAGTTGGTTCTGAATCCCTGCCTCCTGTGGAAGGTGCTGAGCCTGTGCCAAGGGCTTCACAGAAATGAACTTTACTAATCTTGACTCTTTCCTTTAAAACTATTATTGTTATTATTATTGGGGCATGAATGTGCCACAGTGTGTGTGTGTGGAGGTCAGAGGACAACTTTGTGGAGTCAGTTCTCTCCTTCCACCTCTATGTGGGTTCCTGGGATTGAACTCAGTCAGATTTTGCAGCAAGTGCTTTTACCATCTTGCTGGCTTACTAATCTTCACCCTTTATCCTCATTGTATTGATGAGGTAACTGGAGCTCTTAAGTACTTTGGCTAAAGTCATTACAACTGACCAGAAAGTGGAGCTTTGAATCTCCAGTTGACTCAGTTCTACGCTTGAAAAGTAGTTTTATTGGGCTAGGGAGATAGCTCAGTCAGTAAAGTGTACAATGTTGCACACACACACACACACACACACACACGCGCGTGCCCGTAGTCTCTGCCCCATGATGGTGGATGAAGGAAAGTAAGCCCTGAGGCCTGCCTACCTGCATAGCATTCCAGGCTTGGCTTCAGGAGGGCCTTGGAACATCCAGTAACCCCAGCTTCGTGATTCTATAGTCAGCCTCAGCACGCAGAGTACAGAGTACCTTCTGCCAACTAGTCTAGCCATTGCCATGTGCCCCACCCCACATCCAGTTATTCTTGTTCTTAAAACAGATCTGCTGCCTCCCTGTTCCACCAACTTTACCCCATCTCAAACTGTTAACTATAGTCTTCCAGAGTCAACATCTTAGCAGACAGGCTGAGCTCAACCCATAGCATCTCATAATAACAACAATGACTGTGATAACTGTTAAGGTTCAGATAGTCCTTCTCCCTCACCAATAGGATCCTAAGGACTTATGCTCCTGAGAAAAGGGAACCTAGCTGATAAGCACCTTCGTCTTTGAAGTCAAGAGAAGCAGACTTTTCTCCACTGTTTGGCCAACACA